ATTTACAAGTTCCTAATCACTTGCCAATAGAAAACAAAACAAAAAACAGAAGAAAGTGAAAAAAGCTCACTCGACTGTGTTGATTTTTTTCTCATAAACTACGTACCTAGCTCACTCGACTGTCTGGAAAAACCAAGACATTCGAGTGGGCTAAGTACGTAGTTTGTGGGGAAAATATCCAGTTCTCTGAACTTTTATAGCGTCGTATACACATCTTTGGTGCCCAATGATAGTTTCAATATAAAAATATGCTCATGATATGGTGCCATGGCCTCTACTTCCATCTTACATGAGCAATGATAAAATATCATCTGCTTTTATAGCGTCGAATAAATTATCTGACCTCAATATTAATCTAATACCTAATGAAAACTACATCTATACTAATCTGATACCTTTCAAAAACTACGTACCCCACTTGTGTTAATTTCGTTTTGAGTTCTCAATCATTCTCAGCTTTGATATTTGTGTATTTTTTAAATCCGTGTTTTCCAGTGGTTCATTGTGTTTTGATTGAGTAGAACACCTACCTACCTCTAGTTGGAATGTTGAACCTAAAACCTATACCAACATAAGCTGTAAGTTTTTATCATTATTGAACAAGAATTCTTAAGATTTGGCCATTTAGCCTGTGCATTTCAATCTGTCTATCCTTTTTCAGTGATTCAGTGTCTCCAAAATGAAGCTGAGCTCATAAATGCGGGCCACCTGGTTTTGGCTGGTCAAATGGACACAAATGATTGCATTGAAGTATAATAAGTATTATGCCTCATTATGTTTACAGTCCACTGTGTGTGTCAGGTAAGAAGAACTCTCCCTAATAATGATATTGGTAAACTCCTGAAACTCAACTCTATATCATTGTTTTCAGGAAGAATGTGGGATCTTCCAGAGATATAAATATGCTTGGTTGACACAAAAAGCAATCAACAGAGGGACTAATACAAACAGTATTCCTATAGATGAGATGCCCTGTTTTAAGAAAAAAATGAAGAGACCAGTTATATATATGAAACATAATGAATATTCTCAATTTTCCTATCACAAACAGGGTGGACGAGCAACTTCTTTTCTGGAAATGTCAAACCTGTCCTTGGTAGTTGTACTTTTCAAATAAATGTCACAAAGATCAACTATTTATTTGTGTTGTATGTACCTACATGTTTGCTTCATAACTGGCACTTTAACCGAGGATGGCATCTTCAAACGGGACACCCTGTATTTTATTCCATAATCGGTTAAGGATTATCATAACGAATTCAACGATACTGTGTTTGATAGGATTTCTACAAACGATTAGGAAGATATTCACATTTCCATATCCTCAATGAGCATAATGAAAACTTCGAATGCAAATATCTTCGTAATCGTTTGAAATAACCCTATCCAATCCGGTACCGTTGAATTCGTTATAATAGTTCCTAATTCATTATGGAATAATATACATGGTGTTATATACTGTTAAGGATATTTAGTATATATCCCTGAAAAATATCTCATGGATATTTGTGAACAATATCTTATGGATATCCCTGAAAAATGTCTTATGGATATTTGTGAACAATATCTTATGGATATCCCTGAAAAATGTCTTATGGATGTCCCTGAAGGGATATCCTATAGAAGTCCAACTCCTTCCCCAGATAGCACGGGACGTCTCGAAGACGTCCATTTTAGGTCCATTTTTGGTCTGAACGTCCAGGACCTTTTATGGACGTTTTTAAGACGTCCATTATTGGACATACTCCGGACGTCCAGAAAAAGACGTCTTTAAAACGTCCAATTTACAGACTCTCACGGTATATCAGTTTAAATTGATATAAGTAGGTAGGTATATATAAATTTTGAAATTATAATTATTGAATTGAATATGGACATGAATAATGTCAAAAAATATATTATATATCAGCTGTATCAATATATTGAATTTCATTTTATTTTTAATATTATGAATTTGAAATATTTATGATTTTAACTGATTTGTACCAACTTATATAGTTATGTTGAATCATATTCCTTCAATCACATAATACCTATACAGTTTGACCATTCTTAAACCCACACTGGAGTATTCATATTGAATCACTGAATATGTAAAGCAACCGTAGAACGCATGCGTGCTCAGCGTTGCCAGACTTACTATTTTAGCAGTAGATCTACTGTTTTTGTCTCCGTTCGACTGTTCAACTATTCAAGGCAATGGTCTGATTGGTCAAGTTTTGATATGACGTAACTACCCAATATGCAACAATGAAAAATTAATGGGACATCACAGTAAGAAGATGTATGATAAAAATATACTGCAACTATCATATTCAGTCTGATTAGTGAAAATTAGCTTTTATTTCCAATCTGGTTGCGGTTTTCACAAATTTTATTTTTTATTTCATTATTTTTTGTTATTCTTCGTTCGATTTTTGATAGGTATAGAGAAAAAACATGATTTTTTTTTTCGTTTATTATATAGGTGACTATGTTTTTTCATTTATGATAGCAATTGTGATGATTATCAAAATCTTCTGTTCAGTTTTGATGATCTACTGTTTTTTCCCCACCCATCTACTGCTCCGACAAATTTTCATCCGGCAACACTGTGCGTGTTACGTGTGAAACTGTGAAACGAAAACGTAGGAAGATGGCGTCCATCAGTTGACCACTGCCGAGTGCCGATTAAACTGTGATTCAGGTCCAACGACATTCTGAACTTTTCGGGTTATTAGACTGTAAAAGCAGTGAATAAGTGAAATCTTTGCGGATATCATCTATCAACTGGTGAACTTCGATCTCGAGTTCCATCGAGATGTTTATTTGAAGGCAAGTATGGCTATCGACGCTATCGTTTTATTTTCATTCGCATGAAGATGCTTGAGTAAGAACATCAAATCTGTAGTTGAAAACATTAGATACCTTTCTAAATAATTTGATCTCATGCAAAGCTCTACCTAATCCTATTTCCATCATCTACCAAAGTTTATATTTTTGTATATAGTTAAAACATAATATAATTCGTGCAAGGTTCATAGAGGTTATATAGGTACCTACCTAAGAATCAGTTTATGTATGGAATAAGTTCTCAATGAAATAAAAATGATGAAGTATTCCGCTATACTGACTACAACACGTTGAAAGTGGGTGTGTGTTTATGGTTTATGGTATTCACAGAAGATGTTATTGAATATTATTATTATTTACAGATCCAGTGAAGAAGACAACAGAAGGCTGCCGATCAGAAAAAAACATCATCGCGCCTGCGTACCTGGATGAATCACGCGACGTTTTTAGTGGTGCAGCTGCTGATATACGATATGGAAGAGTGAAATTGAAACAACTACCTGAATCTCTATTCATATTATTGTTTGCGAATAAATGTTAACTAATATTCAAGTATTTCACTCTTCAGATGGGTCAGAAAATCAATAATCAATATTGTCTGAATGTCCTCAATACGTCCATTATTCATCCCAAAAAGGTCCTAGTCTGGACCCAAACTGGACGTCCCCAAAACATCCTGATTATTAACAATGGACGTCCTCAAAACGTCCATAAGACGTCCGTCGTCCGGAAATGGACGTCCCCAAAACGTCCTGAATGTCCAGAGTGGACGTTTTTAAAACGTCCATAAGACATACTTGTGCTGATTGGGTCCACTCGGCACGTCCATTGGACGTCCATAAGATATACATCGGATATCACTGGATATTCTCTGGATATCCCAAATATCCTAAATGGACGTCCAATGGATGTCCATCGAATGTCCGTGTGTTGACTGGGTAAGCATTATCTTCGAATATTCGCATTTTGACTAATTTTTAAATTGAGAATAAAAAGGATTTGACGAGGAAGGTGACAGCCGACATTAACGTCATGAAGTTAGGAGTTAGGTTGGCAATGTAGTTTCTGTATATGCAGAGTGTTTGGTGCATCGTGTGCCAAACTGAAATGGTCGAATGAAGGGGTTATTTGCTATCCTTTAAGACTAGTTATCACCTTTCATGCCCTGTGGATCATTTTTAATCGTCTTTTTATCTGTTTATCAAAAAAAGACCCAAATTCCACAATAAAATACATATTTTAAGAATAGTATAAGGCGTAGACTCTGACTATCAATTTTATCTAGATGTGTATTGTGTTAGAGTACTTTAATTGAATTGATTATTGGATAGGGACCAGGTCGAACTATATTCTCTTTTGTGGATGTGAATTCTCTGTTGTCATTGGTAAATACTGAATCTCAATAATTGATTACTAGTTACAAATCTAGCAGCGTCCTAATATGTGGTCCTATACTTTTCATGCGGAAGATAGAATTCGGTTCATGACGTCAACGAACCTGGCGTTTTTCGAGGTCGCCGAATTTGATTATTGAAAATGAAGATTTGTGATGATTTTGAATAACGGATGATCACATCAAATACTAACTATTTATACACGGAGTGTTCAATATATATGGAATAGGTATGTGGCGTATATTCGACTAGTATGTTCAATCACAATCTTACCAAGTTCCAGTCTGTGAAATATGAGCTAGGTTGAAATCACATATGTGAATGACTCCATAATTACTATCCACTGAGAAATAATATTTCCTTTGATGAATAGATCCTAATGAATTGATTGATTTCGTTTGGTATACCAGGTGTGATATTATTTTGATTACCTATACGCCGGGCGATGAAGTACCTTTTCACGCCCACAAACCCAGGTGGTGAAGGGCTACTTTACGCATGATCGTGCATAAAGGATATTTTTCATACCTTTCCTATGTTGGAAGTCAGAATATTAGATGATGGTGCGGGAACTGTCTGCAGGCGTTCGCATATAAGCTGGCATGTGAACACGCCATTAATCTGTCGTGGTCTTGTGTGTCAGATGTCATTGGTTATTGAAATGGAAGCAGTTTTGTATTATTTTGTAAATTTATTTCAAATTTTCAATTAATGGATTCAATTAGTTGAGTGATCTAGCAGTGCAGAGTTCGAATAGTTTATTTCAACATTTCAATGATGAACACTGTGGACTATGAAAAAGAGGAAGCCTCTAATTTGGTAAAAATAAAAACCTAATGAATACTTTTAAATTCAATTTCTTGGTCCTAATTTGGGTCAAGTGCTTGTAAGGGCATATTGATTTATATTTTTTCTGAATTTAGCAAAAAGAATTCGAATGGGTGTTGAACCAAGAAGTCCATAAGGGTTTAGATCAGATTCATCAAATTCTTGTGGTAAGGGATGAAATAATCATGACAACTGGTTCAAATAAAAGTTTATTCCTTCAGGAATGTGCAAGAAGGTTTCCTGTGGCACTATATGGTCATGACAACTCACAAAGACAGGACAAATTTATTCTCTCAGTTCCAGCTGACCAATTGAAATGTGTTGTTACTTTAACAGGGGACAGTATCACACATGCTGTAAGTATCTGCAAATACCTTAAAATTTGTTTCAGTTCCTTAATGAATCTTACAGGATATCAGCTTTAAGGTTGCCAGACAAACAACTTCCACCATGGTTCGCACAACCATTCAAAGTGAACATCCCTGGAAGTTACAGCAGGTTCAGGATGCTGCAAATCATCTCCAACAAGCAATTTATCATATTGACGATGTAGGCAAGCACTACAATTTCAAGTAAGAGACAGATATTTAGGTATCAATGTCAATAGTTGTTTTGAGCTCATGAAACATTTGATGCCTGTGGTCAATTGAACTGCTCTACCTGGATATTTTATTCATATTCTGCTTTAGGTACATGATATATTTTTGTAAAGCTCACCACTTTCTGACAAGGCTTATTGATATAACACTCATTGCATAGAAACATACAAATACTGGTACAGACATTTCATCTACAACCAGTTATATTCATGAAGTTTATAACCTTATCAGGTGATCATGTAGATTTGTGTTCATTTTTGTTTTCATTGATATTTTCAGATGACAGGTCAAGTATGAGCATTTAATTTCATCTTTCCATGTAGCAAAATATATGGGTATTCATTTCTATGAAAATATTTTCCTGCCAGGGAGGTGCAAGTGCACCCCTTGTACCCTGATGCTGCACCCATGTTTGTATTGTTATGTTTCTTGAGGAAATCAGACTTATTTTCTTGAATTTATTGAAGTCCAAAAAGGAGTATCAATATAGTGTAGTGTAAACAACAATAGAGACACCTGAATTATATCAAATTGAAACTATTAACTTTTACCTCCTCCTCATTGAAGTCGAAAGATAGTTTGATTTTCTATGTAAAGTTTTAGCATAATTGAGGTGTAAATTCCTATAAATAACTTGAGAAATCCAGTGAATCATGTACAAAGATGAGAATTCTTTGGAAAATCCTGAAGTTCCTTAACAAGTCTGGAATATTTTTGGAAATTCTGGAAGTTGTTTGGTAGTCTGCAATGACTTTGGAAAGTCTGGGCTTTAATCTATGGTCTGGGTATCCCTTGGGGAATTCCTCTAGTAGTCCCAGGAATTCCAGGAATTATTTTGACAGAAAGACTATTGTGGAAAACTGACTATTCCTAATTCATAAATTATATTTTGAATTCATTGCAAAGTTTTTGGTTTACAGATATTTGGTGATGTAAATCATCTGATTTTTTTAAGAATTTGTTGAATTCAAATATCAATAATAAATGAGTCTGGTGTACAAACAAATTTTGGAGGAATTTAATTTTATCAAAGGTGCCATAATCTAAGATTCTTCAGAACAATTTATACCAGAAGTATACTCACCTTCCCACTTTCCTAAATCAATCATCAAATTGGATTGATTAACAAAAATCCTAAATTATATACACTGGGTCTCTACAGATATTTTGATTAAGGTTCAAATTGGGATCCTGGATTATTTTTGAATGGTTGAATCCAGGATAGAATTGCAATCTGCTTCTGTTACCCAGTGTTTATTTCATCTTTTGAAGTGCCTCAAAAGAAAATCCTATGATGTATGAAGAACATCATGCTCCCCAAGTTATCATATACAGGCAATATCTAGCTTATTTGACAATGCCCTGAATAGCATTAAAATACTTTCTGAATGACTTATAGAAACATGTCAATTTGACAGCTTTATGGTCATTTTATTATACAATGATCAGGGTTGTGATTGGTTGTGATGATTTAAATCAACTGCTTTTTTCAATTCCATTGGTGATTCAAAGCAAATTAAAAATTGCTGTGGATATTCAAAAAAAGGAATATATTTTATTTGAACCAAAGTGTTGACATACACTGAGACAACATACAGTTTGTAAGTGGAAAAATATAAAACATAACTAATTGTCATCAATCCAGCATAAATAGTCATTCAACGGCACATTATAAAGAATAACGAATTTTCTTGTCTGGACAGGAAAGCCGCGGAATGCTGCCGAAAATTTTCAGTTCAACAAATAGTATATTACATAACAAGAGATTACACAAGTGTGTAATTGCTTTACAACTCGACAAATATACTATACTTTTTCTACAGCTACACAATACTTCCTTCAGGATAGTACACATATCGTGTTGAGACACAAATACAGGGTGTCTCACTTCTAATGAAAACACACCTGTATCTTACGTTATCGTTGGGTAAATCCAGAAACTTGCTGGAGCAAGAGACATACTGAAAATGCACTCTAATACCAAGTAGGGTCATCTTCAGTGATATCACTGCTCGCCAACAACCATGGAAGCACCTCAATTTCCGGAAAATGATATTAGAAGACAAAATAGATTGAAAATCCCTTTGGATTCGGAATCAGGAAGCCCAATTCACTAACTTTTCATATTTATTATCTCAAATAACTGCCCCCCCCCTCCAATTGAATACATTTGTTGATGCACCTTCTATTATTCATCACTCCTCTTCCAAAATTCCCTGGTGTGAGGGGTTTGTCATAGAGTCATGATATACCTCTCGCTCCAGCAAATTTCAGGATCCTAACCCAACGATTACATAAGGTACGGGAATGTTTCCATGAAAAGTGAGACAAACTAGTGATTTACGTAACAAGTCCGGAAAATACTGTTTTTTTGGACGAGTACACAAAATTCTAGGCGGAGCCGTAGGCGCGTCCTGGAAGTCTGCGAGTCCAAAAAAACTGTTTTTGACGTGTTGCCTACACTATTTTTTCGGCAACCATGTAGAATAACAAATCAATGAGACACATTTCCATATTATATTTCTTTGTAGATTACAATTTCTTCTTTATTAATTCTCAATTTTATCAAATACTGAAACTTTCAAAAATCAAAATGTCAACTAATTTCATGTCAAATAGCTGTCAGCCGATATTTTGCTGCTATGGTAATGGGCTTATATCACAACAAATTTTTATTTTATAATTTGGTAGAACTCACCCAAACTAGCTCACCACCGCAAACCGTTTCTTGCTGTGAGCTCCCTACGTTTTATAAAAAAATATTGAAATCCCCGATTTTTCGGACCTCTGAAAACGAGGCGATGATGTGACGTCAAAACCCTAATACTGAAACAAGACTATTCCAGACAGAGAGGAATGATACATGATTTCTGACAGAGTGAATTAGCGCGAGATCACAGTTGAAGGAATTAATATATCAGTTGCCTCAATCTCCGTCGGGCGTTTGATATTTTCTTTTAACTATGGCGAGATGAGGTTTCTACGTCATAAGAGGGTCCGTTTTCAAAAGGTACTATTATTTATGTCCAAAACTAAAACATTCCAGTTAATTTTTCGATCGAATTATATCGTCAATCATTATTTATGTATAAAAGGATCATTATAAACATGGTTTGAGTTAAAAGTTCTACTAAGGTGTACACGCCCATTATCATCTGCATTTATCAACAACAGTGACAACAACGATGTGATACTTCCCGGCCTAGTCCGGAAAATGAGCAATTCCTGGACGGTTGCCGAAAAATGAATTGTTCAAAACTGAAATATGAATAGTTAGAGAATTGGGCATCCTGATTCCGAATCCGAAGTGATTTTCAACCTATTTTGACTCCTAATATAATTTTCCGGAAATTGGGGTGGTTCCATGGCTGTTGGATAGTAGTGTATATCACTAAAGATGACCCCACTTGGTCATAGAGTGCATTTTTGGTATTTCTCATGCTTCAACTAATTTCAGGATCCTTACCCAAAGATTAACAAGGATATAGGGGTGTTTCCATCAGAAGTCGGACACACTGTAGGTCAGCACATATCCTTTTGTTGTCAACCTCCAAGTATGTTGAACATCACTTTATCAGAACTCTTTTGTCTATTGAATACCTACCTCCTCTCCCTATCCTCCTTAGGTAAGCCCGATGTTCATCGAACATTATAGGGATTCCTTTCATGCATTTCAAGCGATAAACATAACATTTCAATATACGTGTACTGAGGACAAATCAGATGATTTGTCCCAAAACTTCACATGCATTTTATAATTTTCGTATCACAGAGCCTAAAAGGAAAATTCAATCGATTGTCCGTGACACTTGGTTGAAAGTGTTTGGAGAAGTGAGATAGATATATCGAAAAAATATGAGATTATACTTTCTTTCAAATTGTCTTCAAATATCAGTGAGAAATGTCAACACTGGCAGTGCCAGTAGTGGAATAATTGCAGACATTTCTGAAGAACATTTCCTAAAAGAATTAGTGAGTGTGGCATCACCCACTAGGCGAATGGCTCTTCTTGATGGAATCAAAGAGCATCAACGTATGTTTGGGTGCTGAACCCCATATGTGGAAACAGTATTCTTAAACAATCCGTATCAGTGCTTTGTGGATCATGGGAAGCTGTTGAGGTGTAAAGTGGATTTTTGCACGGAATTAGAACCAGAAACTTTTCTGATGGCCCAAGAAAGTTTTCGGGATCACACCTCAAAAGGTAAGGACCCCGTCATTCCTTGCTCGCCCAAGTCTCTTGGAGACTCCTGAGGGTTGTTCGTAAGGCGACAACCAAATAACGAATAGAACAACTTTAGAACAACAAAAGACAATCTGTCATAATCCTTCCATGAAAGATTATTATTCCTGATAGAAATTCCGAGCAGTCTGACTACTCAACAATGACGTTTTTCTACGGCTATTACACAAAATTGCTCTTGATTTACTGTGTTCGATAAATTAATACTTTGTTCGTTATCAATTTTATTTCCGTATCTGATATCAATATGTTTCAATATTCACATTTCTTATAGATTCCTACTCTACTCAACTACCATGCTTTCATAATCCTCTGACAAGTTGCTAGGCTAGTCATTTAATGCAAGTGCAGCTTGACAAAAAGAAATGTTACCAGTGGAGTAGTTCAATTGAACAGCAGTTTGATATTGTTTATTCCATGTTGTCATTTCAGATCATCAGACGAAGTTCTTCATATATTAGGCAATATACTAGGAAGTTTGCAAAGGGGCCGTACTAGTCTCATAGTACCCAAGAAAAAAAGTATTTATGATCTTCTGAAGAGCCGAAATATGGTATGAACATAATAACTAATAATATTTTGGTACAAACAATCTAAAAATTGTTGGCACATCACCTACAGACAGCTTTTTTCAATTGCTTCTTCTTTTTCTGAAAATTCAATGAATCCACAATTTAATACAGGTTCAATTAAATCACAAAGCAATAAATATCAACATCGATCAAGTCGAATGCTCAGAATCGAGGCACTATCAAGTGCATTCTGCTTGGTTTCAAAATAAATAAGGCTAATATTCCTGATGGAATTCCACCAATTAGTCTCGAAAAGTATCCACTAGAATTGACATCGATTCTCTGCAAGTTATTTACCATCTCGTACAAGTCAAGTGTTTTTCCATTCTGCTGAAAAATAACTAGTGTCCAACCAGTTCCAAACAAATGAAAGAAAAACCTGCCGAACAACTATTGGAACATCACTCTGTTATCAGTTATTTCCAAAGTGATGGAGAAAGCCGAGCGGTTGACCACCGAAGAGAAATGTGTACACTGGAATTCCAATAAATCGGATTTCCTTGGAACTCCCCGGAATGCCCCAGATTTCCTACATCAAAAATATGTCAATTTGAACAACTATCGATAAATTTTGAAAATTAAATGTAGGAAGTACTAGGAATTCTGGGGAATTCCGAAGAATCCTGACGGAATATGAAAGACATGTTTTGGAGGTTGAGTTCTTTTCAACTTTTCAGTTGATGTTGTTGATTGAATTAATGTAATAAACTGTCCAAATAGTATAATGAAGGAAAATACTATGCTGAGTAACTCAAAAAATCATAAGAAGGATAAAACATCGATTAAAAATATAGGTATAGATCATACAATCATCATCTTATTTCAATTTCGCGGTTATTACCGCTGGCAACATTGTAGACAACCTCTGTGTTTTATGATCTTTAATCTCGCTTCCGTAATCAAGGGCGTTCCTTCGTATTGTGAAATGTAATGGATCTTTTTTTAATAATGATAAAGATGGAAAGCCCTAATTTCGAGTGACAATGGAAAATGAAAAAACTCCACCGCCCCGCGTGAGAGTCGAACTCACAACCTCTTGGTTACATGCCCAACGCTATGACAATTGAGCTAACGGGTCATCCGTCGATCAATCGGCAGGGAGGTCGAGTTCTCATCACACACCAGGCGGCAGAATCCTTCCAATTCCCGAAGTCACTCGAAATCATGCACTATTCGAAGCATCGCTGGCAGGATGGTACTATGCAGTCTCCATATTTCCCCATTCGTCCTCTGGCATTTTTTTTATACCTCTCGAGTAGAAGTAGAATATGGCAAGGGAAGAGATTGATTTTGAAGTCGAAAGAAATTGTTTCTTGGATGAGATGAAAAAATGAGTCGGGAATGAACTCATCGAAGCACCTGCTATTATTATTGAACTGGTGGTTTTAATAATGTACACATTTTAGCGGCAGTTGAGGAAAGTGATTTGATTGAAGTGGAAACATTCATTCAAGGTGACTTTAAGGACATCATAGGAGAACATTTCTCAGATTTTCTTGGTGTGTTAAAAAAAAATACATTTCGTTTTACCCTGACGAAAAAAAACTTATTTGGGCAATGAGAGATCATTGTCGAGAAAAAGTCAATTTCATGAAAGTATTGGTTTCTGACAAATGCGGCAAGGCCGGCAATAGAAAACCGAAGGACCCGAAGCTATCCACCTCGTCATCAACCAATGCCATCAAGGAAGAAAATTCAAAGAGTACAGGTAGCCGAGCAGTTGATCTGATGGAATATCGTCAACAATATTATACTAGAAAAAATTTTAAATCTGCCTGCAGAAAACGAAAAAAATATTTTTTCAGAGACCATGTGTACAGATGCCAAATGGAGGAACAAGACAATGGTGTGTAATATTATATTTATATCCTTCTCCAAGATGCTAAGCTAATATTAAAGTGGGTACTTGGTCGGGTGGGTATGAGTTTTTCAATTCCTAGATAAAGTCGATCATTATACCTATTCCGCGACACTTAACACTACTGCAGTGTGGTCGGTTTTTAATTATTCTACGAAAAAAATTAGGAAACATACCAATCACTAGTTTCACCAAATTTGTTATAGATTCTTAGTAATCTCCCAGAATTCCCATGTGGTCAACCCATCGGAGAAAGTCATCAACATTGAGCATATCAAACATCTGGAAAACTCATGAATCATCAATGATAGATAATATGGCTTTCGCCATCGAAGATCAACTGGAGATTCACTTGCCTGCATTACCCATATACATATGGCAAGCTTCATTAGAAAATCATGGAGAATCTCTAGCTGTGGCTTAGATATATCGAAAGCATTCGACCGTGTTCCGCACCAACACAAGCGTCTAGCTAGACCAGCGAATCTTTCAAACATCGAGGTCAAGTGACGTCATTCACAACACATGATATTTCTTCCTTCTTAATATTGGGGAACCACGACTTCTACGAGACTACGAGTAAAGCGATAGATTGATGAAATAAACCTCTGGTGTACGCACTTCAATCCTTTCCTGTTTTACAATTCCTTGATTTTCGCCTACTTCGATGAACATAACATGGCGTGGGTGAATGTCGCTAAATTTAGTCTGGTGCCGTACCAAAATTACAGGCATCAATGTGACAATTGTGACCGAATTGTGACTAATGAAGATAGGGAATACATTTTGCGATTTAGCCGCATGAAGGTTGGTAGAACTGATGTTGATCATAAGTTCTAAGAATCGCGCCATCTAACATTCGATATGTGAACCCCACGTCATCGTCTGAAATTCAATTGTTTATATCAAGAACCAGTCTGACGAAACAAATGAAGAGTGAGCGCAGAGGTTTATTTCATCAATAGCGATAGATTAGTGGTCGGTGTATCTGACTTCCACGTTGATGACTGGAGTTCAATCCCTTCGAGACGTCAATTTTTTTTTCAAATTTTTTCCACTCAATTAATTTTTCAACAATATACTTTTCAGGAAAAGGTTCATTTAGGACAAGTTAGGTTGAAAGTACTTTCTTTCTTCATGTAGAAGAGATATTTTCCTTCCTCATATTACCTTATAAGTCTTATAAACACGAATATCCTTCTGATAACCTTCGGGTGAAAGATTCGCTGGTCTAGCTAGAAGGTGCTAGAAGCTTGTCGGAATAACGGCTTTTCCACAAACTACTATCATACGGCTTACCACCTTAGCTAATGCCTTGTTTTATCGAGTTTTCTTTCAGGCAGATCGATCCAGGTGGTGGTAGTATCGTCTGATCCCATAGCCATTGACTCCGGCGTTCCACAAAGTTCATCATAATTATATCTATGCTTGACATTTCCATCAGTCATACTCTTTCATGGAAAAATCATATCAGATCCATCGCTGAAGCTGCTCCACAAAAACTCTACTTTTATTTTAAACGAAAAGCTGCTTGTCACCTCAACAGCTTCTAATGATCTACAGATCACAGATACGGCCCGTTTCATAATACTGCATATGGGGTTTAGCACCTAGTCATTCTCGTGGTGGGTGATGCCACACTTAATAATTCTTTGACACCAATGTAGCACTGTAGAGAAGTCGGCGACATTTCAGATACTTCGGCGGGATGAAGAATATGTCTTATATTTTTCCATCACTATAGTAATACCAGTCAGTCGTACTCAACTTTTGTATTGTGTATATCTCAGTACACCCCTACGTTGGAAGTGAATTCTTGCTATGTTCTCATGATCGCATTGGTTGTTCAAAAGTTCGTGCGTTGTCGAATAATCGCATTTTAGCAAACAGCTGCATAACATTATCATTCATTTATTATCAGAAATATTAATCTAGACGATAATAATAGTTGTACACGTTGGAAATTCAGTAAAAAGTCCTCCCCCTCCTTCAACTATTGAACAAGCTATAGGGGTCGGATAAAATTTAGGTAAACAGGTGTTTCTTTCACTACGTGCAGGCATCAAAATGGTTGTGGTCACATGGCATAGTGTCAAGTAGGCACCATCAACTTTTTTAAAATGTAATGAGGGGGTCACGTGGTAAATTGTCTTGAATGCCTTTCGATTCTCTATCTAACACTGCTTCGTTTGTGGCAATTGGCCTAGTCGTTTCAAAATTGAAAGCGTTTGAAGTTTTCCTCGGAAGCAGTGAATAACGGTCGACTGAAATCCAAAACCGATGTTTCGTCAATGAGTGAACGGTGAACATTTCGAGCATTTTTGAGTACTTGTTACAATTGTAGCTCAACATTCTCTTGTCTTAAAATTTTTTTCTGGTTTTTTATTCATTAAAATATTAATATTTGTAGCAAATTTCGAACGCTCGTCTGTTTGAATCAGATTGGCTGATTTGCACAAACAAAGATAATCGAAAAGCCTTCAAAACCAGGAACTACGTGACCCCCCGTAACATTTAAAAAAAAAAAGTTGATGGTGCCGTCTTGATACTAGACCACGTGACCACAACCAATTTTATATCAAAAAGGAGTAAAAGAGGTACTTTTAACCTGAATCTTACCCGACTACTAGCTTATCCCGTTCAAAAGTTGAATGGGGTGTGGACTGTGGAGTACTTTTTACGTCCTCACTGCATAGTAAGTAGTACTAGGTGAACGACAAGAATGATTCGGACAGTTCTTCATTTAATTACAAAAATCTCAAACAAGTGATACATTATATTATGGAAACAAGAAGAATGTTCAGCTGTCAAAATCATTCTCGATGTCCGCCTACTATGATGATAGTTTCGGTTAACCGTAAAAAATGAGGTAATTTCTCAAAGTTATTCCCATATGTTGATGTTGATTACTGTATAAGCCTCCCATTTCAATAATAACTAACTTTATAAGATATACACGTATTAAATTATCAATAAACATAATTGATAAATACTGTCTGTAGCGTAATCGGTTAGTGAAATGTTAATTTCTGTTGTTTTTGTTTTTTGGTTTTCTGTGTTAGTTTCTAGAAATAAGAATAGTATTTTTTCAGTATATTGTATAGTGAGGACGAATCAGATGATTTGTTTCGAAATGACACTGCTTTAATAAAAAAATTACTATCAGAAACCCAGGAGAGAAATTTATCACTGATAGGCAGTCGCACCTTGTTTGAAAATGTTTGAATTCCATATTGGATTTATACTGAAGTTACGCTATCGACATTGCGCATTTTGTAGATATTCCCCTATAGAATAAAAATAATTTTTCACTAGGAAATCCTTCAATGATCTTTTGAAACTGAAAAATGTATCATTTCCTTTCATTTCATCGGGTAATGAATCATAAATTCGGGGAGCCATTGCTATAGAAAAATCATAATGAATTTTCGTATTACTAAACGGAATATAAAAGTTATCTTTTTGGCGTGTATTGTATTCGTAGCTTGAATTATTAATCTTTAAGATATTTCCATTTTTTGTATAGTATTTTTGTTGTTCATTTTCACTATTCGTTCCTGTTTTTTATTAACTCACATATTATAAGTACCAATCTAATTGTATCTTGTGATATTTGTGAATATTTCTGAATTGAGAATTAGGAATATGATTATTTGTGTATGAGAATGTTTGTTTTGTGTTGTTCTGTTTCTGTTTACTAAAAGTACATGATGTTTTGACGTCATAGGTTTTATTTCATTATCCTTTCTTGGAATTCGTGTAGCATTAAATTGATCTTGCAAGGATCTATTGAAATCTACTGATTTTTGTCAATTTATTGATAACTGATGGAATACAAATTGAACTGGCAATCCTGGTTCGCGCGGAGAGTGAGTTGACAACTGTCATTTGCTGTTGTCAAAAATAATTATTCACGAAATCTGATGAGTATCACTTGTGAATAGGACCGTGATATGAATATAGGTAAGTGTTTGAGGTCGGTGAAAAAATGTAATATGCACCTCGGCGTAAAACTGTTTATTGTCTCGCCTGATTGCTAGCCTCGGCTTTCAACTTACTGACTCGACTATAATAGACAGTGTTTTGTCCTTGGTACATAAATAACTATTCTTTGAATATTCCACTCTCCACCTGATCTGGTCGAATTGACACAGCAAGGAGTCAGAAAACCAAGAAGTACAAATAAAGAAGAATATTCTCAGTCAAGGAACCACTGAATATTAGTAGTGATAAATTTCTCTTGCTCGTCTTTTATAGTGAACATTCTTCAACGTAGTGACATTCTAGTACCAAATCATCCGATTTGTCTTCACTACACATACAGAGAATTGTACAGAAAACGGCCAGGACTGTAAGTTTTGAATTATTCGAGATACGGTTTTGAAAATCGGTGGGCAGCTAGTATACCAAATTGCTCATCAATTGACGAAACAATTTTTGTTCTATCACTTCCGGTTTTACTGGAAACGACCCCAACTTTTGATTTTTAAATGGGACACCCTGTATTGTATTCCATAATCGGTTAGGGATTGTCATAACGAATTCATCGAAACCGGGTTTGATTGGGTTATTTTAAACGATTACGCAGATATTCGCGTTCTAAGTTTCTATATGCTCAATGAGTGTGACAGAGAAAGAAGTTTTGTATTGCAAAATCATAACCTTTGAGCATATGGAAACTCCGAAAACAAATATCTTTGTAATTGTTTGAAATAACCCTATCAAACCCGGAATCGTTGAATTTGTCATGATAATCCTTAACCGATTATGGAATACAATCCCTTTTAAAAATCAAAAGTTGGGGTCGTTTCCGGTGAAATTAGAAGTGATAGATGAAAGTTACAAACCTCAAGTTCGAGTTCAAGTTTATTCAATCCACAGAGCAGTTATATGCTATCGGACAAGTCAAGTCAGTACAAATATTTGGATATATGAAATACAATGAAACATACAGTCTAAGTAAACAAACAAACAGGTATCAAAAAAATTCGTTCAAACTATAGGGGCAGAGGTCGAGGAGATGCATTTTCATTTCATTTTTGAACGTATGCAGTTCATTGATCAATTTTAATTCTTCGGGAAGAGAATTGTATAGTCTGAGTCCCAATATGTCCGATGATTTCTGAGTTATCGTCAAACGTACGTTGGGCAAATAGAAATTATTCATTGTTCGCGTTTGATAACTATGTATTGAATTATGTTTCTTTAATAAACTTTCTCATTTTTTATGTATATTAGTTAAAACTTCAAGGATATATAACCCACATAGGGGAAGTAACTTGTATTCTTTGAATAATTTCCTACATGTGGTGCCACTAGGAACACTGGCAAGACATCGTACAATTCTTTTCTGCACTATGAAGACTTCATGAGCGGCAGATGAGTTACCCCAGATGGTGATTCCATATTATGTCATTCGAGATTGAATTTCTCCGTGGCAAAAGAGTAGGAGCCCTCGCATGTCCAAAATTGATTTGAGAGCTCTCAATTGAATGCATTTAGTACTCAATGTATTTGCTAGGGATTTACAATGTAATTTGAATGATAGATGATGATCAAGTCTGACCCCTAAGAAAGTAGTGCATTCAACCATCTCTATAGTTCGATCATCTATATTTATTTCTACAACAGGAACATTTTTATTCTGTCTGCTATGAAAAGTTGAGTAATTTGTTTTTGAAGCATTCAAATAAAGGGAGTTATCATATGACCATCTACAAAGTGACTGAATACTATCATCAATTCTGTTTTGAATTTGAGTATCAGATTTGACTGTGAATAATAATGTAGAATCATCTGTATATAAACAGGTGAATGCATTTGGAAGGATTAGAGGCAACTCATTGACGTACAGTGTGACCTGGCCGTTTTTTGTGCACTTCTCTGTATATCGAAACAGGCCTCATATTTTTATTCACAGAAACAAGGAAAGAAAATTCAGAAAATGATTCTTGATACCCATTGTTTTCGTTCCACTGATACATGTATTTTTTTTATTATAGACAGCTCTTTCACCGCCTTTGGCAGAAGATCTAGCAATAAGTTTTTACATACAGAGCCACAAGTTGGTGTTCGTTATGTATCAATTGATGAATAATCAGGGTGTGATGACCCCCGATCCAACGCCGGCAGAGTGTTCAGTACCTTGGCTCAACGAAGTGTTGGTTCTTTTCACTGTAGGATTGCAGCTTTGTCAGCAGCTGAAAGATAAGGTATGAAAATAAAATAGATAGGATACATCTCGTCCCGAAATTAGCCTGCCAAACTTCACCAGCGGCTTCTACGACCAAAAAAGGAAAAGTTTCGAAGAACATGAGACATGAAAAGTCTCCTAAGGGAGCTACGGAACCCTGAAGATGATAGTAGTAGTAGTAGTAGTAGGTGGGGAGGCTGTAGCCAAGCAAGTAGGCCCCGATGGGCCCTTTCTGCTAACCCCTGCTCTCCACATATCTACGCGTCCTTCACCTAGATTTCCTTTACGGATCTCCCTGACCTTCTTATGAAGGCCAGTATGTCCGTCCACTCTGAAATAATCAACTCCTCTTGTTGGAGTTTGTCGACTCCAAAGATTTCAAATCTCAGCCTCCCGTACGCCTCGCACTCAAGAAAATGGAGGGACGTTTCTTCGTCTTCCCCTCATCTGCGGCAAGTGGGGTTGTCCTCCCTTCCCATAAGTGTTAGGTGTCTGCCTAGCCTGTTGTGTCCTGTGAGTACTCCTCATGAAGATGACATTTCTTTGAGCAATATTTAATGTAGTCTCACCCTGTATTTTATACTCCTGAATGCAATTTGGGAATAATTTTCTGTTCACCGATTGTGCATGGAAAATTTAGTTTTTGTACCAAATTGCATCATTTATCATCACGTGATGTTACGGAAATAATAAATAAATATCATCATTCAGGGGGCCGTAGCTTCCTTAGGAGACTTTTCTCGACTCATCTTCATTGAAACTTTTGTGCCTATTTTTGATCGAAGAAGCCGCTGGTGGAGTTTGGCAGGCTGATTTCGGGACAACCCGTATAAAATCATCCTGTCACGGTGTTTGTTGCCAAACTCCCCCAAAACGGCTTGACCGATCGTTATGAAAATGTTTGTGCATAGCTCCGAGAATCGGTCGTAAGATATTTCCTAAATTGAGAATCAGAGATGGCGGATTCAATATGGTGGAGTTTTGTAATTATGATCCCATTAAATTCAAAATTGGTATCAGGAGAATTTTGGGGTCGGAGATTATAATTCTTTAATATAATTCAAAATGGCGGATCAAATATGGCGGACGAGTATTGTGATTATGGGCAATTTTTATTCAATTCCGTCAAAATTTTAAAATTCAAGATGGAGGATCCGATATGGTGGACGAGTTTTGCAACTATAATCCCATTCTATTCAAAATTGGTATCTGGGGATCTTCGGCGTCGAAGTTCATGATTCCTACGTCAAAGATGGGAAATTTAAGATGGGGAATCTAATATGGCGAACGTGTTTTGTGATTATGGACTGTTTCTTTTCAGAATTGTTACCTGGGGGTTTTCGGGGTCGGAGATATGATTTCTTCGTCGAAATTGAGAAATTCAAGATGGTGGATCCAATATGGCGGGCGAGTTTTGTAATTGTGATCCGATTCTTTTCAAAATTCACCTCAGTTGAAATTTACGCGTTTTTTCAACAAAATTGAACAGTGAATTATAATAATAATTGGAAATGTTAAAAATTGCATCAGAGGCGTTTAGAAAATACAATAGAAAAAGTCTGCACAACACCACGTGGGGTATCACTGTATGGAATAACCGAAGTAATTGTATCGTCAACAATTGAGGCTTTCGACGAAAAACTCATGACATACTTGAATTCAAAAAAAATCACCATACGTATAGTACCTACACCATAACACACTAACTTGTGCAATGAAAATAATTATAATCATTGTTTTTTCAGATCTGTGTTTTTTCACAGTACAAAGATTTTACTGTCGGTTCAAGACCTAGCAGCCCGTCACAATGCTAATCTGGACTCTCAACATCAGGTTCATTGTATTGCATAAATGTTATGATATTGTCAATTCCACAACGATAGTATTAGTTTTAACTCTTCAACTTCAATGTAAATATTTTAGATGTTTGTTGTTGTACAATTTAGAGATTATTAAAATTATTTATTGTCATCAAACTTGGTCATTTTTAGTAGAGGGCGGATAAACACAGAATATATAGGGTCCTCAACAAAAAGCTGATAATACACTTCCCCACAAAATTATCGCACCACCAAAAAGTATCCAAAAGTTTGAGATACATTTTCGTCAAAACTACTTGTCCGATTTGAACGTGTTTTTTTTTTCATGAAATTCGAAATACACAAATAGTGTAGCAGTTTCATTATCAAGTTAAAATTACACTTTCGCCTTATCTTCCTCCATTTTTCCTTTTTTTGGATTCTCTTCATTACCTTTTTCATTACTCCAGAAACAGAATTTTATAGTATGAACATGATTTTATTGAATTCAATTAGCATTTTAAGCATGCGCCCGCCGCCATATTGAAAAAAAAAACGAAAATAATCGGCACTTTCTTCAGATTTTCGCTCATATCTTCGTTTCCGTACATTTGAGCTACAAAAGAGTTCCATTCAATGTTGTAGCAAATTGAATTCACTATACTTTACTTAAGTTTCTAGGTTTGAGAGTTACGGAGATATGTGCTTTTCAAATGAATCAAAGAAACGCATTTTTCGGGTACTTGTCAAATTTCTGAATTTAGTGAGCTGTGATTCAGTTATGGCCTATTCTAGGAAATTAAGTATTCGTAGGGGTTATAATGAAAATGATAATGATGACATAGCTTTTTAGGCTATTGTGACTCCACATTGTATTGAAAAAATGTACTTTTAATCATTCAGTTTTGGTTTGAATTTGAAGTTTATACCGACCCTAATTGAAAAATTCATTCATTAAACACAAAAATTGAGAACATTCTGAGGTGTGGTCGCCTTGTACCTACTTGCTCCATTATCACCTTCCAATGGTCGAGCTATTGTTTCATACAATCTTATTCAGAAGGTATCCAATATCAATAACGACCATGTGTTCGTTTTTGAAAGACACCAAGAAAAAAAATAATATGCTGATGTTGTTTTGACTGTTATGTTTACCTCCCACTTGTATGGTTAGTTGAAAAAACTGTGCGTGTGTTTTGTAGAAAACTGAATCTCGTAATGATTTCACTCCCATACTTGTCCTGAAATAGGACATATTACAGCGATCTAAAATTGGAAGTTTGGCCCAGAAAATGCGTTTTTTATTATTATTTTTTGAATAATTAACAGTCTTAGAAAGAGATCACGAATGTAATTTATAGGAAATTTAGTTCGCTACAACATTGATCAGAACTCTGTTTTTCAATATGGCGGCGAGCCGAGGTGATGGAATTGTGCATTTTGCATTATGAACACCCAATAACCATGCTAGACAACATGTCAAATTTTAAAACTACCGACCCATTTGTAAGGTAACCCACCTCTATTAACTGTATTAACTCGGATTGCTCTGAAATTTTGCAGGCACTTTCTCAGATGGCAATACACCATTTTTCCTTTTCGCGTCCTTAATTTTTTTTCATTCACTCATAAATACCAAGAAACATTGTATGTTTATGCCTTAATCTGCGATGTGGCGCTCGAGTTTTTCCAGCGATCGTTTTTTTTTTTACTAATTTGATCGGTTGCCCTAGACGTTCCACACCATATAAAGATTCCAGGTATGGTGGGAGTACTTCACAAGGTGCAAGATTACCCCCATTATGTTATTCTTCTGTGCTCGAGTAAATCCCAAAATTCCCGCTCGTGCTCCCCTACTATAATGTCGGTGGCGGCCAGCCTGACAGATGTGAAAAACGTAATTTGACACTGAAATAGAAATCCTCACTTAATCGAGTTTTGCAAAAATGTCTGATGAGAGCATTTCCCATAAAGAAGACAAAGAAAATTTGCTATACATAGCAAGAAAAATCAATTTAGAAGAATTTTCTTATGGAGACGATCATGGTTATGTAAGAGAATCTATACTCTCCACATCTACCATTTTCTCCACAACCAAGACTGCTTCAGATGTTGCACTAGCAGCACAAAAGACTGAGCTAGGTCCGAAACTGTTCAAGAATCCTGAGGTTGTCGAAAAAACTAGACCATTCGTGAGTATTAATATTTATGTACAGTAGATATACAGGGTAACTCACGGTCGATGGTACGTTAGACGTTTATGGAGAACGGGACATAGGATCATTCTGAAATTTTGGTTACTCACGTAGTTGCTCTTCGTCTATCGATCTAAAATATTTTTAGCTCTGCGGCGTTGCCGCTTCTATCGAAAAGTAGCAACAACTTTGTTATTTTGAATAGAACACCCTGTATTTTATTGCATTTTCAGATTCTCTCTGAAGAGCTGATTTCATCGATGTATCACACTTGGGGTCTAGCGGAAATGATATATAGGGTGTGAAAAATCGTCATTTTCAACTTTAGGAATTTTTTTTGTCGAAACTATTCATTATTGGTCAAAACGGCTTACATGTCCCTATCTCAACTTTTGATTAACTATCTACTGATATTTAATTGGGACATATACCGGGTGATCAAGATTCTGAATTCTGCACGACCCTGTATTTGTTTCAATTAAATGTCAGTAGATAGTTGATCAAAAGTTGAGATAGGGACAGGTGAGCCGTTTAGACCAATAATGAATAGTTTCGACAAAAAAATTCCTAAAATTGAAAAATGTCGATTTTTCACACCCTATATCTCTGTAATCATTTTCGCTAGACCCCACGTGTGATACATCGATGAAATCAGGTCTTCAGAGAGAATCTGAAAATGCAATAAAATACAGGGTGTTCCATTTAAAATAACAAAGTTGTTGCTTCTTTTCGATAGAAGCGGCAACGCTGCAGAGCTAAAAATATTTTAGATCGATAGACCAAGAGCAACTACGTGAGTAACCAAAATTTCAGAACGATCCTATGTCCCGTTCTCCATAAACGTCTAACGTACCATCGACCGTGAGTTACCCTGTATAAGTAGACACAGGAGGCGAAGGTATAAGTGAAAGACGAGTTCTTTATTTTTATTAGATTCAACAATTGAAAATACAAATTTATCAGAATGAACAATTGAAAATACAAATTTCTTAGAGATGTAATATTGAGTGCCCCAATATCGTAATATCAAGGTAATATTATGTAAGAACAAAATGGTGATAACTGCATGCTTGTATCACAAAATGCACAATTGTTATGAATTTGTCTGCTATGCCGCTTCACTACAATAGTAGGTATCATAGTCTTTTGTATTCTTTAAGTGTGTCTTTTTGCACACAGGGGCAAAGAGTTGAGTTCATCATTTGAAAAACCTCCGAACAATTTGTGGCCGGAGTGCAAAGCGCTATGCAGAAAGCTATACCCAAGTTCGGGTAAGCGCTGCATATAGAGATTGGTTCCTTGAAAACGTGAAAACGGCTAGGCTCTGGAATTCATTGCCTGAGGAAGTATTCCCAACAACATATAATCTCCAGAAGTTCGAAAAAAATCCAATACCTACCTCCTGTCCCTATCCTCCCTAGGAACGCACGATGTTCTTTGAACATTATAGGGATTTCATTTCGTGCACTCCAAGCGATAATAAAAAGATACGATAATGATGTATTTTAATTTTTTCACCGTCTCATTGGGGGGGGGGGGATGTGACTGTGAAAGTGTATCCATATTCCTGAACCAAGTGATCCTCTAAATCAATATTATACAATTGAAGTGCTTATTGTGAAACAATGACATGAAAGGTAAAAATGAGATATTTGAATGTTTTTTAATATATATTTAAAATCCAGTAACAACTTCCGACCCAGGCAACTAGATGACGTTTCAGTGACGTCTTTTTACGTCAGTAGAATGACCACGGTGACGTCAGGAGTTGACGTCGTATGACGTGATAAATGACGTGATACATGACGTGAATAAGTCACAGACCAATGACGTCATATTACTCACGTTCAGTGACGTGTTTCACCCACCAAACTGTGACGTCGGACTGACGTCGAAATGACGTCAAAATGACGTTCAAATAATCATCACCGACCTACGATGACATATAATATTGATTATGTATTTTTCAGTCTGCTTGGTGGTCCCTCCGGTGTCATGTTCATTCAATCGTCTATTGAGCAGCGCTATCCCTCAGTACGCATCCATTAGAATGAAATAAGTTACTTGTATTTGTATGAAAAATTATGTAGTGTGTGTCGGCGAGATGTATAAGCAAAGCAAGAATAGTTTGATAGCAATGAAAAGGATATGTTGGCGAATTCAGCTTCACTTTGTTCGTATATTCATGCACCATTTGTCACCCAACAAAAATCAAAAAAGCAAATTATTGAAAAATTTTCTGAATGACGAAGCTCACCAAATTGGTACGTCTCACCTACGTGATTTTAGACGTCATTATCATTTGTACAGATAGCTTGATTGTTTCCCGAGATATACAGGGTGTCAAAGTTTAAAAAAAAATTCTATCACTTTTTGGTTATATATAATTCCAATAAAACTTGCATGTTGATTTGTTTTAATGAGTTATACTTCTATCGACGTTAGAAGAATATACATATATAAAATTACCAAGATGTACATGTTTTTATATATGTGTAAAATTAATGAAAAAACTATTTTTCCTGAAAACTTCGACACTGAAAAATGCCCATCCTGTATATATAGGTACGTCACAAACCTAACGGTTTCACATGATAATGTAAGTAAGTTTACATGGTTTAGATATGGTCTGGAAAACGTAGATGTCGACACAGGACGTCCCTGCAACGTCATGAAACTGACGTCTTATTTAACCCTTCTAGAAGTGACGTTCACTCGACGTCGAGATGATGACATGATTATCACGTCATAGAAAGTACGTCATAGTGGCGTCATAAATTGGTGTGTGACGTCTCTGACGAAAAATTACTAATTAGGGACGTCACAGTGCCGTGATCATTCGTCATCTGGTTGCCTGGGGAGGTTTCAGTCCCATATAGGTCGATGCGTCATGCCCAATGGGACTATAGTTAATAACTAACAAGAATATTGATAAAATTACTTCAAACCTGAGAAAAAACAGGCTGTATTTGAAAAAGATGTGGTTCGTTGCATTACCCCATTTAGAATGATAACACAAAATCCAACATATTGTTGCCCTAAATTTCGTCGAAATTTTCTATTTGATCCTAAATAACACTATTTGTTTCTTTGTTTCCATCGACTTGTTGGAATTTCTTCGGATGTGTTTGTTTTTTCCTTTGTCTTATTCATTCACCTCTACAACGAAATGCAATAATATAACAAGCCACGTGACATGCCACTACAATAATATTTTTCTACAAACGTCAAAAAATGACAAGGTTCGCGCATTGATAACAAATTGCGAAGTGACACTTTTTTTCAGTTTCCTACGTTACCACGACACAATGTGCGAAGCAGTGCGCGAAGTAAAACAGTGCGCGAAGTACCTACTTCGCGCATTTATGTAAAATATATGAGATTTATATTTCAACTTCATGGTCCTCAATCGAACAAACATCCACGAAATCATTCATTTCTGAATGTTCAACAATAACTTTGTTTTATTTCTTGGAGCGCACGAAAGGAAATTCCTATTATGTTCATGGAACATCGTGCGTACCTAGGGAGGATAGGGGGAGGCCTTTTTAAGCCAGTTCAACACTATTTTTGATATCAAGCTAAGCATATTTTTACTTCAGAACTATATTTTTTGACGTTTGTAGAAAAAATGTTGTTTGCAACTCGAGCGCGAAATACTTTGGTCATCTCGACTATTTTTTTAACTCGGCTACGCCTCGTTAAAAATATCAGATCTCGATCACCAAAGTAGCATTTCGCGCTCTAGATACAAAAATAACTATTCATTACGCTATATTTTAGAATGACAATGATGTTGCAAGCCACATTAGGGCAAAAAATACATACCGCTTTATTTTCATCACTTGAGTCATTTCTAGATTGTTCAAAGTTAGGGTCACGGTCGCTGTCATTGAATGTCGACTCAACTTCACTATTTGTCTTGCTAGAATCGTCAGAATTCACAGCATTATCGGAACAGCTTTCGCTCGTGTTTTGTGTGGCTTGTCATTATGTCCGGTAGTAACTAGAGAAAAAAAATAGACCTATGCAATAGTTTCACCATAGGTTTGTCGCGCCATTCATTAAGGTTATGTTGTTGCTTCAACTGATTTTGATTTTTTGGAAACACTTATTTCACATGGTTTTTGCGGTTACTAATTGTCCTTAGTTAGAAATAATACTATTCTATTAGTCACAACTAGGATACTTAGTTAGGGTTACTATATAATAATAGTTATTGTAGCAAATTGATGGTATTTGTGTCAAACGAATAAATTTCGTTACAAATAATGAATGAATAATGAGTACAAAATATACAGGTTTTCTGATTATATAGAAACCCCTACCCACACAGCACCGGACGTCTCGAAGACGTCCATTTTATGTCCATATAATGCCTGAACGTCCACAGGCATAAAATGGTCGTCTTGAAGACGTCTATCGTAGAACGTTTCAGAGACGTCCAGAAATGGATGTCCCAAAGATGTCTTATTGAAGTCCGGAAATAATTTATCAGAAAAAAACAAAGTTTTTACTAAAAGAGACGGTATATTCAATTTTGATTTAGAATGCATGATTATTGCTGATGTTTTTGGTGAAATTATTGGGTCCACAACATGAAATGGACGTCTGGAAGATCCAAGACTGAATTACAGCCTACTATATGCATTCTAAATTGAATAAATATCGAAGTTACAGGACTAGAAAAATATGATTCTCATATTGTTCAAGGATTTACAATGGTCTTTTGGTATAAACGCGAGAGTTAAAGTACGAAATATGACCACAGCAACTCGTCGTGAGATATTCTTCGCTAGCTCACACTTCCCAATACTATACGATTACTGTTCAAGGACAATGACACATTTGGAAGGCCATGTAAGTCGATTAGAATGCAGCAAAATCGAATGCCGATGCATTAATTTCCATGATTTCAGCATCAAATCATCTCAGACATCTCCGTCAGTCAGACAGGTAGATGGATAATAACATCAGACGATGACTTGGATGGATTTTTACATGTTTGGGACAGCGAAAAAGATCTATCAAAAAGGTAGGAGCAAAGTGTTATTATTTTGGGAACTTTTTGTAACTTATTCTGAATCATTCGAGGTCAGATTCTGAACTTTGGTGAGTAGCAATAAGTGTAGATATAGACAAGAGTCCGGACACAGCTATACTTCTGTCCTTTTCTGTTTTCAATAAATGCATCGATGATTGAATAAAGGAATAAGACATATATATCGAGCTCTGTCTTTTCAATTCCCCTAGTATCAATGATTGTCAGAAACAATTTTGAGGGTTAGATTATTTGTCAAACCGTACATAGCCGAAGGTAGAAGTGAGAAATAGGGCTATTTCAACTAGGATAACTATTAGATTTTCATATAATGAACAACAGGATGTTCAAATTTCGAATCGATAATTTTCATAATCAATTTCCTGAGATGGCTATTGCAAATTTTCGTCATCAGATATATCTTCACTTCATTAGATATAAGAAAGATAATTCAAGTGTTCTACGTGGTATCACATATAGCCAAGAAAATATAGTTGTTTTCTGTTGGGATATAAAAAAATAGAAGATATATAATTGCCATTTCGTCAAAGCATAGGCAGCAGTCTCTCTCAATGTCCGAGTAATTCTCTGCTCATTCTCAAGTAATGGAGAGATTTTACCAATATTCCTGGATTGAAAGCAATGTGTTCTATTTTTCTCGATTGTGAAAAAGAAAATTCCAATTTCAACAGGTGTTCATATCCAGTGGTACCACAAGAGAATTTGATAGCGAGTGCTTTATTGATTGTGTCGGTTTCCCACCTCTTCCTGCAGTCTACATTCACCTGTGAATTTTGAATTCGATCTGAATCAAAAACACCGTGGACTGATGACATAGCACATTGCAATTTCTCTTAATCTTCTAGTTTTGATTTCAAACTTTCAATTTCTTTTCGCATCATCTCATTCTCATTTTCTTTCTCTGCGATCGTTCATTCAGCAATTCCCAATACGATGACGACGGAACTCTCTCAAATCTAATATTTTTCCTGTGTATAATACACTATTTTTTTCTGTGACAGGAAGAAAGACGCTGTAATATTGAAAAGATATTACATAATATAATCAGAAAATTATCAATGTGAAATTTGAACTTCTTACACCTCCATTGTGGGCATCTTTGTTGCTATGTCATTCTATTGTCATATTCTGTCAATGTAATTCTGTGTTTTGATTTTTGATTTGAAAATCATTGCGAACTTATATAGTGATTTAGTAGTTATTTTGAATAATATTAAATGTCTGAATTCGAGTTTTCTCCTACTCCACCGGAGTTAGTTGAAGCAGCGAAAGAAGCGTTACCAAAAATTATTGCCAGCTAAATCGCGGAAAATTCACGAAACCGCGTATTCAAGATTCATGGAATGGGGAATGAAAAAGTCATGCAGTTCTTTCTCGGAAACGGTGGTATTGGCCTATTTTTCCGAACTGGCTCAGCAACAAAAGCCATCAACAGTGTGGTCAAATTATTCAATGATTAAAAGTATATGTTACAATCCAATAATAATGTAGACATTTCAAAATATCCCAAACTAATTACATTCCTCAAACAAAATGGGAAAGGTTACAAACCCAAGAAAGCAGCGATTATTACCAGTACACAAATTGGCGAATTTTTAAATAATGCTCCTGATGAAGTTTATTTAATGGCCAAAGTTGTTGTTGTATTCGGGATTGCAGGAGCTTGTCGAATTTGTGAAATCAGCCAGGTAACATTAGATGATATTGAAGATTCAGGAACGATATTAATTGTGAAAATCAAGCAAACAAAGAATGATGTGGACAGAAGATTTGTAGTTACTGAAGAATATATTAAATTTTACCGAACATACATAGCCCTGCGTCCAGCAACAGCAAAGGATCGTTCGCTGAAGGATATGTTGATGAATCGGTATCACACAGAACAGAAATAGCTAATAAAGTATTCAGAACTTGTGGCATTGCCGAAATAACACCCCGTTTTCAACCAGGTATATTAACGGCAGTTGTGTCCATGGCAGAAAGAAATATAATTTCAACACGAGAAAATTCTACTGTTGTTCCGAATACTTCAAGGAACGTGTCATTCATGCAATGCACATTCAATAATTGTACTTTTGATTTGAAGAAAATGTAACTTTCGTTTAATAAAATATTCTGAATCAAATATCTACCATACTTATGAGTATTCGGGAAAAAAGTACTCACTTTTTTCCCACGGGAAAAAAGTCATTATTGAAAAGTGACATTTTATAACCTGTCAACAGAGATGAAATGTCAAACTTTTTTCCCGTCACAGAGAAAAATATTAAAAACCCCAACGGCAGTCAGTTTTGTGTCCGGACTCTTGTCTAAGGTATATACAGGGACTCTAGATATAGGTACCATGCGAATTGCTCATTTATTGACAGAACCAATTTCAACTACGAAATAGCCACAATGCTCAAAGTGGAATGAAATGTTAAATAAATACAAAGTCAAAGTCATATATCCACACAATGTTCATAAAATAAACAACAATGGTAGATTTCGGGAGGAAAACAACTACTTTCCTGGCTAATGCCACGCAGAATAAACGAATACTGATACAAGTGATTATTTCCGGAATGCCTATTGATTTCGATTCAGCCAGGCCACACTAGACACCTACAGACCGGTTTCGAGCTCTTTGACTCTCATCAGTGCAGGGCAGTCTCGAGCCAGCAGTCCTAAGACCGCCGACTAAGCGTTCAGTTTTGGAGTGTATCTTTCCTTCTTTTCTGCTCAGATGACTTTGCTGTCATATTGTCTATGAAAGACGCCTCTGGTGGAATATAATGCCCACTTGAGTTCCGTTTGGCTAGGCTACGCTTAGCCGGCAGTCTTAGGACTGCTAGCTGGGAACTGCCCTGCACTGATGAGAGTCAAAGAGCTCGAAACCGGTATGTAGGTGTCGAGCGTGGCCTGGCTAAATCGAAATCAATAGGCATTCAGGGAAAAATCACTTGCACCAGTATTCGTTTATACCAGTCGATGCATAGATTTCGGGAGGATGTAATTCAATGTTCTGCGTGGCATTAGCCAGGAAAGTTGTTGTTTTTCTCCCGAAATTTACCATTGTGTGGATATGACTTTGGCTTTTTGTATTTATTTAGAACCAATTTTGTTCTATCATTTCCGGTTCAACCAGCAGCAACCCCAACTTTTGGTTCTCAAATATGGGACATCATGTATATTTTTTTATTCTTGGATTCAGCGAATTGTTTTACACACACTAGTTGAGAAGTTATAGTTGAAGTGGGTTTTGGTGGAACCGGAAGTGAATATTTATGAAAGGCAATTTGGGTCTCCTACTCGAATGACTCAGAAGTTACTGCAGTTGCCGTTTTTTGTGCACTTCTCTGTATTATACTAAAAAATCATACATACGTATGTACCTACTCAGTTTTATATCTAATTTTGCAATCAGACAAAATGCATTGTGAAGAAATCAAACCGCATGATTCTAATTCACTTTTCCAGTAGTAGCAACTTTGAAAGAGTACTCTGTATGAAGCCGTTGAAGTTGTTACGGAAGAAAACACGGTCAGATGTAGGTATCTAATAGATACTGTCCTCTTGTGTGATTTTCTGACCAGACCAATATTCTTCTGTCTATATCATCATCATATCTTGGGGTTACCATGTTTCTTTTTTTCCATCATTATATGGTATCAGTTTAGCAAGAATCTGATGCGATATTTATTTCAAGTCTTGATATGCTTTAGAAAATTTGGATACCTACCAAATTAACAATGTATCCGGTCTTGATAGCAATGCAACTTATTTTGTGCGGTTTTGATTTTCTTATAGTAATTTTCTTCTGAACATTCAGTCTTCAGTTTTTAACGAGTCTATCTGATAATTAATTACTTTCATTTAAGCGGACCAGTTAGATCGTTCCATGGAATATACCCACATTCAGGAATAATTACTGTTAGAATCAGTGGCAGTGCCAAATTTTTTGTCACCATTGGTTCGCACAATAATGAAGAATATTCGGTAGATTTTTGGCTGTGGACATTAGGAAATGACAAACCAGATGGTAAGGAATATTGAGAAAATTATCACATGGCCAAAGAAATGTTATATGTTCCATTTGAAAAACTTGAGAAAAAGCACCTCAAAATGTTTCGAATAGAGAATTCATTCATAGTTACCCTGTATAATTGGAGGGCATGAAAATTCTTTTGAAACATTACGCATCTGCTCATCAATTAATGTTATGATTATTTCCTTGACAATTTAATTCATGTATGAAAAATCCCACAAGCCGCGTGATTTTGTCATTATAACAGCGAAAAAAGTCTTTCAGGCGACAATAACGGAACCAAACTTTTGGAAGCATGACAACCAGCCATAAACAAATGTTTGATGAATTAATAGAATATTATTCGACGAGCGTGTAATGACGGCCATTACTCATGAGAATGAAGTTTGCGACGTGAGCCGCAGGCGAACGTCGTAATCATTCGAATGAGTAATAGCCATTACACGCAAGTAGAATACTATACTTTTTCTATGACTGAGTGATGAACTGGTTGAGTTCATCAGCAGTGAATATCTTCGGCTTTCTTTGACATATATCCATCAGATTTCCTTTTTAGAAATGCTCGTAATTTCAAATATTTGTCAATATTCACATAATTTTTCATTGAAATTGTGCTTCTTAGTATATGCATGGAATACTGTGACCACAAGGAGGATGCTTTGTGTTTAGCTGCTAATTCGCCAAAATAGGCTAGCAGTACATTATCCGAAAACGAATTTGCAAGTTTTGCTTTTCGCCAAACCACTTCATACCTTTTTTTAGATTCCTCGTGCAAAAGGCTGATTGTACTTGAATTGGCAGCTTTCAAAACTTCTGATGGTGGAGAGCAGTTGAATTCATTTTCGCTTTCTGAATAGGCCTTTTCATATTGATATATTTTTAAGACGCATGCGCTCGTTTTAAGATCCAAAATTTGATTGGTTAATGCAAAGGTGAAGTTTCAATGGCTATAGTTCCGACACATAATTCTGATTGGCCATTTCGAATATGGCGGTTTTTATTGACGTTCTGTCAAACGTCAACAGTGTCAACCAACATGGGCATTCGTCATTGAGAAACAATGATAACAATATAGTATTCTCGTTTCTATATTCCTGGTGTGTATTATATAATTGTATTATATTAATTTAAATCGAAAAAACGTTACTTATTCATTACTGAGGAGTGTGGTGCAAGTGTTTCGGTGAAAATGACCGCCACTGTCTTTGGAATTTGGATGCGAGATGTAAACACAGATAGTCATTTATCATCTAAATGAAAAGGCCTATACATATTTGTACAAAAAGTCAGTTCTAAATCACGCCAGATATAGCTATTGTCAAATTATGACATTTCATGACGAGTCTGATTCAAACGTTTCACTGCATGCCCCATATTATTATTATCATTACAACGGGTGTCAACTGTTTTGTAGGTAATGAATCTGCTTTGTTGCTGATTGGCCATAGCCTGTTGTGTAAAGGCTCTTACACACGGGGCGTGGCTTGTTTTGCGTAATGCATCCAGTTACCCAACAAAAATGTTACATTAAAAGGGTCTAGTTTTCAACAGTCATAGAAAAATTGTCTTACCGAATTACAATCTACCTTTTTTTTTTAGTCGAAGTAAACTTGGCATTTATATAATACGAATTTTGTTGTCATTAGGTAATTCAAGTCAAATTGCCAGGCAACAAAATTCTTATTGATACATGTCAATTTCACTTTGACAAGAAAAGCTCTCGTGTAATTATAAGTGGAAATTTTATGATTGCGACGACAGTGTGATACATATAGATATATTAATTTTTATGTTTAGAAACTATAAACCCAGTTATCATACTCACGTCGATATAACGTAGTAAAATCACCACAACGGTCGGTAGAAATAACGTTTTCAACTACTATATCAACGTTAATCACCGTTTGAAACCGGTGGAAACTGCCTGGTTCTCAACCAAATTCATTCCAAGAATTTTTTTTATGTTCTGGTTCTCACGAAAAGGGATATCCTGTAATGTTCAGAGAACATCGTGAGAACCAAGGGAAATAAGGTAGAAATTGGTGTTCTTCTTGAATTTCTGGAGGTTATATGCCTCGAGGAACACCTCCCTTGGCAATGTGTTCCAGAGCCCCGCTGTAACATATCAACGTTTTGTTACTGTTCCAAATAACCATAATCAAATGTTGAACTACTACTACTGGTACTGGTAGGGGACGTTTGCACGTCAGCAACTAGTCCCTAATCGGACCTTTTTGCAAGCCCCAAGGTGTTTTCAATAAGTGATGTGGTTCGCTTAAGAGAGCTAACTAACATCTTTTTCAGGCACTGCCCATCAGCTCTCTTTCAGAGTATTTTGGCTGTGTTTTGTAGGCTCGTAATGTACTCACTATACCATATGCTGCAGTGGCAGGCCTGCTAGCTATTCTCGTTAACCCCCGTTAGAGACCGAGGTCCACTAAGCAGCATTGACCCGCTCTCACGCTCAGCTGGTAGTCTTTCACACCCCTACATACACCGTCCTACTTCTTGTCTGATGCTCACAACCACATCATCATCTGTTCCTGCATGTTCTGTGTAGGCTTTGTTACTAACTCCATGCGCCACTTTAGGAGCAGCACTGTTGATTGGAACGCAACAGCGAATCGTGCAGGACTATTTCCAGCCGATGCTCCAAAACTTCACAATATTCAATTCGTAAATAAAATATTGAAAAAAGTTCCTTGCTCGTGCTGGGAATCGAACACACGACCTTGCGGTCGTGAGACGAAGGCTCAAGCCAATCCCGGCCCCATCAAATGTTGAAAATTGACGATTAGAACAAGTAGATACAATAATATTTTTCTCCGATTGGCAGCAAATATTAATTTTGCTGACACATATCAATCAGCAAAGTATTACTTTTCCTGCCTAGGCAGCAAAGTGGTTACTTTGCTGATTGATATGTATCAGCAAAATTAATAATCCATAAATCGTTTATAATTTCCTTCATATTTCATCCGAGCATAGATTAACGACAAATTCAACTCTATATTTTTTGCCACCTCCCTCATTTCTGGAGGTGTGAGTACTTCCAGGTCGCTATCACTGTCCATTATATAATAATTTAAATAATCCGATATTTTTTCGCACAACTGTCAGAAATTTTATGAATTGTCAAACTTTAATTATTATGGACATTTCCATAGCAACCAACCATTCCAACAACTGCGATTTCTATCAAATTTTATTTTATTTGAACATTACAGGAAAAATAAATAGATATATATCATTATGAACAATCGGAGAAAAAATTATATGTTCCACTCGGCAGCAAAGTAGATTGACTGCCTTAGCTGAATTCCTAACCTCGCTACGCTCGGCTATGAATTCAGCCTCAGCATTCAATCTACTACTTTGCTGCCTAGTTAAACAAATAACTATTTTCAACGTTCACTTTGGATTAATTTTCAATTGTCAAATCTTCGGTTTTTCGAACGTTCCTGAAACGTTTTAGGCAGATTATTTTCAATCAAATCTTCATCCTCATCATTTTCATACTGCTTGCAATTGTCATCATAACTTACTAACCTGATATGTTGTCCACGTAATTCCTTCCCTTAGCTGTTCCACTTTCTTCTCAGTGAGGTGCCTATCTCTACGTATCCCCATTCAAATATGCTGAACTACTCGTATTTGTACATAAACTCTTTGTGTGAGGTTATCGAATACTATCAAAAAAACGTTGGCGTAACGTTCATTTGAAGAGTTCAATAAACATCTCGAATGAACGTTAGTTTACCTTGAGGAATTTGCCGAGTAGTTTTGTATCAATGTAAAAAACACGTTGTGAGATGACGATTATATATCCAAGAGTCAACACTATGTGATGGAGAACTGATAGACGCATGATTTTGAAAATCTATAGAATCGGTGGAAGGATAATCGGAAATTCGACTAAAAGATTTTCATCAATGTCAAGCTTATGGTTTGTCTGAGAGTGACGTTATTCTTGTAATCGATTATATTTAGAAGAAGTGACAAATACAAGCAATCGAATATACGCCATTTCCATGTGAATTCAAATTCTTAGGGGTATTCACTGATTTTATATTCTCTTGGTATTGATTGATTATGTGATCGATATTAGAATGCGAAGAATTAGTATCTGGGTTCTCCCCACCATATGGAGTTAAAATAATTAGAAACTGAAGCAAGATTCGGAAAATTTAAAAATTCAATTACGTTATCTATCTCAGACTTCAGATTCGAAAATTGACAGCTAAGTTGGTGAAAATAGAAATGACTCTTTGGTTTCTGTTACTGTCAGAAGCATCGAGAATATATTTTATGCACGACCGGACGTAAAGTTGCACTTTATCTCCCGGATTCGTGGGCGTAAAATAGCAATTTAGCGTCCTAGAGCGAAGCGGGCGGTCAGGTAGTCCGGCAGGCGGTAAAAAGTTATTTATCTGTTTTTCCAGTAAGTTCTAATAGAATACCATCCGATCTTTAATGAATGAATTCAATCTCATATATTCGAGATTTCAAGATTTTTTATTCTCACAAAAGAATACAGTGCTAATCATTAACACAATTTCCTAAGATCTAAATTGTATACAAGACTTTTGTAGGTGAAATGGACAGCTGTATGATATTGAAATGACTCACTAGAGTAGACTCACGCTAGGCATTGTAGCCTGTTTTGTGATGTCTAATTTGTACAAGTGTATGTCTCATGTAATGGTATTCGAATGGCATGTGCAGTATACTTACATTTTTGTGAAAATCAATAGAGAATGAGAGAGAAAAAAATCTGATTAGGATTCAAAGGAGATTGGATAAATTGAAACACTTGAAACTTGGTGTGAAGAATATCTATTTCAGTTAAAAAATAGACATTTTTCTGGGTGCTTCTGTACATAATGTTTCGCTTCTTTTTCGAAAAGTTGGAAAGATGTAATATCTTTGAGATTTTTTGGTAAAATGTTGAATATTTGAAGGCGATAAATTCCATATTGACAGTAAATAAATGT